GCATAATGAATGCATTATGAACGGGCACTTAATATAAAGTGTTACCAAATAAGCTAAAGCTTGCATATGCAGCTTTTTAGCGTGGTTTGCCCTTTTAATAATCTTTGCTCTGGCGGTGGTGAATTGAGCTCACTGTTGTGCCGGTAGACATGCTGAAGCATGTTCGTTATGCTATTTGCGTATGTTATCAGTCTTTTACAATGTTTGCACGCAGTTTTTCTCTTTTCTGTGCTTTTCTTGCTGTTTTCGTTTGTGATTACCGGAAATAGTGATGTGGTTATCCGTTACTCTTGAGTAATCGTTACTACCAAGTACTTGGCAGTTCAGTATTCGTTACTTAATACTCATTACCCAATACTCGTTACTACTTGGGTTGGCTATGCATACAATAATGAATGCTGCTAGCTATACTGTACCATAGTCCCTAAGCCTACAGCGCTTAGCGGCGTTGTGTTAGTGTGGGTAATTTGACGCACGATGCTTTATCTTCTGTTAGAATGGCGATGGGCAACTAATTACCCCAGCCTGTCAGTGCAGTGACCCAGCCCCACCCACCCCCCCATCAGACTCGTATGTGGGCCATACAACATGCAGGCAATGACTGCAGGCTTCAGATAATGGAATCCAGTTGCAACTTCATGCCAGCCAGAACTGCCACAAACAACAGTCTGCATGGCGAGTGCTGATTGGGCGGTTTGATCAGTCATTTCGATACTGTCAGCAACAAATCCTTGAACGGCTGAATACTTGTAATGATTCGTAATGAATGCTTAATGTAGTACCTGGAAAGTACTGCTTATGTGTTATATTAGGGGAAACTATTTTGGCTGGCCTGTGGGCAAACCAGTTTCCCTTGTAAATTAGCAATAAGAGTGGTATATTAGAGAGTATTTTACTGTAAATATCACATAGACAATTAGACACATTAGTGTGCTTCATGTAGTGCCTGGGAATTAGTTATTATTAGTTAACAAAATGTTATAGCAGGGGGAAAAATTTTGCCTGGCCTCTGGGCAAATAGTTTTTTTCTTGTATATTAGCATTAAGAGTGGTGAACTTAAGTATTTCACAGACAAAAATGACGTAGACCTATAGATGGACTAATGTGCCTAACCTGGCACTTATTAATCACTGTTGGAGTTTTAGAAGGGGAAGCCAATTTTATGGAATAGTGTATTAAAAAGTGTTTTCCTTTCAATATTACACAGACCCATAGACAGATCAGTTTACATAGTCTAGTAATTAGGAATTACTGTTTGTGTTTATGAAAAGGCAAGCATGTTTCTCTTGTATATGTGAAACATTAATAGTGTATTGCTGGGTATTTCACTGTCAATATAACCCAGATTATTATTATTATTAATTTCCGTTAGGGATAAATAAAGTGGAGCGGCATGGTGGTGCAGTGGTTAGAACTGTTGCCTCACACCTCTGGGACCTGGGTTCGAGTCTCCGCCTGGGTCACATGTGTGGAGTTTGCATGTTCTCCCCATGTCATCGTGGGGTTTCCTCCGGGTACTCTGGTTTCCCCCCACAGTCCAAAGACATGCTGAGGCTAATTGGAGTTACTAAATTGCCCGTAGGTGTGCTTGTGTGAGTGTGCCCTGTGATGGGCTGGCCCCCTGCCCAGGGTTGTTCCCTGCCTCGTGCCCATTGCTTCTGGGATAGGCTCCGGACCTATTGGAGTTTCTAAATTGCCCGTAGGCTCAGCACACAGCCTTGGGGGCAACCTGTGCTGATTGTTCTTGTGCCTGATGTCTGGTTACCAATTCTCACTGACTGGGGTCTGTCTGTGAGGAAATTCAGCACCCAGCTGCAGAGGGAGGATGTGTCAGTCCAAGTGAGACAGTTTCTGTGGGATAACTGTGTTGAAAGCTGAGCTATAATCAATCAACATCCTCACATATGTGTCTCTTAATTCCCTCCAGGTGAGTGAGGACTGTGTGAATAGCAGCGTTGACTGCATCATCAGTGGACCGATTCTGGCGATAAGCATACTGTAGGGGATCGAGGGTCGCTGGGATTGATTTCTGAATGTGTGCCATGACTAGTCTCTCAAAGCATTTCATCACAATAGCAGTGAGTGCAGTGACACCTGAGATTTCTTTGGTGGTAACCTTAAAGCAAGAAGGCACAAATGCCTGTGCCAGGGACAGGTTGAATATGTCCATGAAAACTCCAGTTAACTCAGATGAGCAGACCTTGAGTGTGCACCTTGGGATGGAGTCTTGGCCTGTTGCCTTATGTGGATTGATTCGGCTCAGGACCCGGCACACCTCCACTGTTGTCACTGACACTGCCAAAGTTTATTATTTGGATAAAGCCTACAGCGTTTTGTGGGAACGATGATGTCGGTACATGTGCTGATATACCCAGATACAGCAGCAACATACTCCTCCAAGTCGACAATGGAGTCTCCCCTCAGAGAAGCAGTTCTAAAGACGTCCCAGTTAGCACTCTCAAAGCAGTCCTGAAGAGTTTGCTCCGTTTCTTCATTCCATAGCTTTATTATTTTACATACAGGACCTCTCTTGAGCAGTTGTCTGTAGGCTAAATAATATATAGACAGATGATCCGACTTGCCAAAGTGGGGGCGTGGTACTGCTCTGTAGGCGTCCTTCACGTTGCTGTAGACTTGGTCAAGAGTATTGCGCTCCCTTGATGGAAAGGATACATGCTGGTGATATTTGGGGAAAACCTTCCTCAGGTTGCAATGATTAAAATCTCCAGCCACAATGAAAACAGCACCAGGGTGAGCAGACTCATGTCTGCTGATAACATCGCTCAGCACCCTGAGCCACATGATCTGCCCGCGGTGGAATGTAAACAGACACCAGGTACACAGCGCTTAATTTCCTTGGCACTTAAAAATGTCTACAGTTCAATGTCAGTAGAACAGAGTGTTTCAACTTCCTGTGCATTCACACGCCATCTATTGTTCATGTATAAACAAACGCCTCCTCCTCTGTTCCTCCCCAAGGCTGATGTACGGTCTCCGCGGTGCAGGGAATGTGTTCGCAACTGTAGAGTCTGGTATAATGTCCGACAGCCAGGTTTCCGTGAACGTGAGAGCACAACAGTCCCTTATCTCACGCTGTGTGGTAACCCTTGTTCTCAGCTCATGTATTTTGTTTTTAAGTGAGCGGACATTAGCTAGTAACAGGCTAGGCAGCGTGAGGTTTTGTAGCTCTAGCCTTTAAGAACATAAGAACTATACAAATGAGAGGAGGTCATTCAGCCCATCGAGCTCGCTTGGGGGAGCCTCGCGTGCAGCCCACCTCTCTTCCCTCGTTTCTGCTTTGGGCGTGCTGATTGTCGCCTTCGCCACTCATGTGATGCCCGGGGCTGCTGGGCCTTCCCGGCTGATGTTGGCTAGGTCCAGTCTCTGGGAGAAATGAAAGTCTGACGAGCTTGTTTCTGGCACATTATTAGCTCATGTCAAGAGGTTCCGCACGGCTGTATCGCAATATTACACAGGCTGGGTGTATGTTTAAAAAGCAAGAAAACACTAACACAAAAAAGTCGGAAGAGCAAAGCAAACACGCCGGCCACGGTGGGCGACATCATAGCCATCATCCTTAACATTACCTGTAAGCTACAGTTGGTTGAAGGCTCATTATCATTATGCCAGTTCCCGACAGCGTAATTCCCGTTCTCTTTCAAAAGTGCTCGCGTTTTCTTTTAAAGTAACATTTCATAGCAAACCAGTTAAATAAATAGGTCTTTGAAAGATCAGAATTTAAGCCTTACCGTTTTCTCCCAGGACTCTTCCAAAACTTCTGGCTGGGGTCCTGCACAAGGCAGCATGGGTCACGTGTTCCACAGCAACAATAACACTGTGCTGCCCGCAGACGTGCCTGTCTGTAAATTGGTGTACTACACTTGGATATTGGCTGTTGCCGATACATTAAAAAATGTCAAATATCGGCCCTCTAATTGCTACCATAGCTAACAAAAAATTTAGTGCTACAAAAAGCATTCCACCTCCAAGATTATTTTAACCACTGGAAAGAGCGTTCTGTGCTACAAAACAGGGACGAGTTTCCCGAAACTCATGCACTGTGTACGGATGTGAATAACCAAAAGGTCCTTGAATTTTCATTATGAATATTAAGAAATGTTCCTCTGCCAATAATCAATTCATCACAATACATTGATCCATCCATAATGTAGATGTTCAGAATGTACATATAATTTTATAATACTAATTCTGAGTTTATGCACAAACATAGTCACAAACTTAAACTAGGTCCCACTGCTGTTTTTTATATGACATGTTATGGATCATATGTTACAATAACAAGGCATCTATATCCATTCACACAAGTCCAAGTTTTAAAGTCAGTTGTGAGTGTCATGACCTGCTCGTTCGATCCTCATGTGTGCCACGCCCCCTCATTACCTACGTGTACTACCCCGATTGTGATCACCTGTTTCCTGTTATTTTCGGCTTGTCTTGTGTATTTAATCTGTGTCTGAGTTAGTTTCCCCAGGTCTGTCATTAACGTGGTTTTGTTTTGTGCTGTCTGCCCTGATTAAAACACTGTTTTCGTCCGATTCACGGCTCCCTCACTTGCTTCCCCGCTCGCCCGCACGCCGTCATCACAGTGAGATGTATTATTGTCATATTATTCACACAATGAGAAACACATGCCTCCTACAGTAGCTGTCACTTCAGAGAACAACAGGAAGAGTAATTACCACAAACAATAAATAACTTTCATCCTTCTTCTAATGACTATCCTGGTCAGGGTTACTGACACAAAAATAAAACAAAACAATTACGTATTTGTCTGCAAAATATGTCAGTCTATTTTTAAATGATTATATACCTTATTTGTGGTCTAGCATATTTGTTGTTAAATCCTCATTTTTGGGGGCATTTTTTCAGTACAACCAAATTTGGATATCTAGGTCAGGTTTTCCAAATTGGCACTCATCAAAACAGCCATTTGTTTTTACAAAGTGTTATAACATTTTTTGTTCAACTCTTTTCTCAGGCTATTCCATGGCTGTCCCATTGTTCCGTGGCACAAACAACCAGAGCACTGTCATTTTAGGAGCCCCGCGATATCAGCACAAAGGAGGAGTTATTATTATGATAAATAAAAGAGTACACAAGATCCTTGAAGCCACGCAGGTGTGTCTTAAATCCTTACAGTCTTCTGTAATAATTTCATTCTCAGTTCTGACCTTATGAAATGCCTGAGTGATGTTACAAAGGAAACCATTAGGAATATATAATGTATAGAGTTATGTTAATCAGACACTCTACTCACTCTATATTTGTTAGTCAGGTGCCTGCATCTGGGTAATGCAGTCTAACAATACAGGCAAATATCTATGGTTTCGCAGGTGCAATGGAATATCTTCCATGACAGAGTGCTTCATGTAGACTAGAATTACAGGAAAAGTCTTAGGTGGTTTTATACCATGAAAACAATCTAAAAGCAACAATGTAACATACATAATGAGTTAATACTGATGGAATCAAATATGCTTAAAATACATATAATATTGTAGAAATATAACAATAATGGTCTTGAATATTGTAATGATTTTTGCTAAGCATTAACAGGTCTCACAAAGAAACGTTCTTACTAGTATCAGTAAGAACCAGAATAATTTGTCATCCCAGATTAGACATTTTCAGTTGAAAATTATTTCATGATTATGTTAGAACCTGTTCCTGAGGTGACTCTCACCTCCCCACCAGACTGGCTCCTGTCACTTTTACTTATTATTCTATATCTATTTATTGATAGTTTTCACTGTTTCACTGTTTTTGCTGCTGCTGTATTACCTATTGGATGACGCTTTACATTAACTGCATCCTCATAGTGCCTTTATAATGTATTCGTAGAACATTCAGTGTTCCTTCATAATGCATTCGTAAAACATTCATAAGCAACATGTAAAAACATCTTAACATGCTAACATACCTTAACAACTTTAATATACATTAATAATGAATATTATATGATAATAAACATTATAATTGTATGTTTGTCATTAATGTATATTGAAGTTGTTGAGGTATGTTAGGATAAGGTATACTTACATGCTGCCTATGAATGTTCTATGAATGCATTATAAAGGTGCACTGAATGTTGTATGAATTCATAATGAATGCATTATGAGGGTGCAGTTAATGTAAAGTAGTGCTGTCCCAAACGATTATTCTTTAAAAGATTAATCTAGTGATTATTTTATTATTATTATTATTTTCGATTGTTCAACTAACAACTATTTTTTCGATTGATCTGATGATAAATTTATTGATAAGCAAATATTTTCAAGTTAGTCATTTAATACAGCAATTCACCCCCTCCCACACACACACAAATCTAAAATTATCATTAACATTTCAATTTATTTAAACATTTCTTAAACATTAGAGCATTAAAAACAAAACGTAAGAGATTCAATAGGATTTCTGTTAGACTTAAGTTAACAATCACTGCAATAGTTTTTACTTAATTATTTCAGTACACTAATTTGACTTTAATTTTGAAATAGATGCTAAAACATGGAATGATTTCATAACTAGAGAAACATGTTTTTAACAAACACTGACACAATAAGTAAACAGAAAATATAAAACGGCTGAAACTGCGTCATTAATTAACGTCAGCTACAGTATAGGTGCAGAAAAGGTGATATGACTGAAGTATTCTCAAACTTTAGAAGACCGCACGTGAGCCTTTTTTTGCCGCGTGTTTCTCTAGAGGATCCGGAACTCTGCTGGTAGACGCAGCCATATTGCCTCGTGCGTGGGGGGCGGGACGGATTGGGACGGGCAGCAAATTTCCTTTTTGAAGAGTGGTAGGAGATTTCTTATTAATATTTATGCAACATGCATATGTGCTACATGATTGGCCAATGCATGCCTTACAAAATAGTGTGGCACTGCTGGCACCGGCGATATTAGACAAATAATAATAATAATACATTTTATTTATACTACACTTTACATTACCAAAAATCTCAAAGTGCTCAAAACTATATCGGAATTCAGTCTATAATTTATATAGTTTTAACGGTGCCAGCAGTGAAACAACTAGGCTGCTTATTAGCGGAATAACTTTGTATTGTTAATGAAAACCATGCCGCAGGTCCAATAGAATAAATAAAATATCGTAGCTCTCGAGTGGCGAAGAGATCATCAAGTGGACAGTAAAGTTAAGTTATTAGCAGACTGTTTTATTGCGCCATTCTTAAAAGGACAGCGTTAACATGCTCCCGAGGAGATACTTTCCCTTACAATATGTTTATAGCGTATCACGTAGTGCATTGCCGTTACAAAACATTTACGTAGTTTCACACTAGTCTACACTAAAACTCCACGTCGACGCATTTTTATAATCTACATCGAATAATCGTCCCAGCCCTAATGTAAAGCGTTACCACAAATTGTTTACAAACACATTGCACATTGTATATAATCCTTTCTGTCTGCCCCCCTGTTTCACACTGTCCTGTATTTTGCACTTTATGTATTGTGAAAAGCCTTCCCCTATTATGACAGTTGTGTGTTGCCCTGTGGTTCAGGGGGAATAGTAATTATGGGAATACTTGACTTGATAGAAATTAAAAAAACATTTGCAGCTGAACAGCCTGTAACGAAAGATATAATTACAAATTTTTAAAAAATGTTCTCTCCTCTTAGATTGGTTCATATTTTGGCGCTGAGGTCTGTGTGGTGGATTTGAATTCGGATTCCAGTACTGACCTATTACTCATATCGGCTCCAATGTACATAAATACTGACAGAGACAGTGAAGGACAAGTGACTGTCTGTTCCCTGCAGGATGCGGTAAAGACACATTCTGTTGTGCAGCATTTCCAGTACATTTATTATGGAAAGTTTTGTGTTGCTGTGTTAATGTAAGCAGCCCACTGTCATGTAAAATATCTTCTCCTATATATTTAAGCTGCGCGTAGGTGCATCTTGTACAGAGCAGCCACTGATGGGGGAAGCAGGGATGAGGGGAAGGTTTGGAGCTTCCCTCGCTGCCCTCGCTGACCTGAATGGGGATGGAATAGCTGAGGTGGCTGTAGGAGCCCCTTTGGAAAACGATGGCAAGGGTGGCCTGTACATCTTCTCTGGTGCACAAACAGGAATAAATCCCACGTACTCACAGGTGAGAGAAGCTGCGGGGGAGACTGCAGGTACAGAAAATGAGCAGGAAGAGAAAATATTCTTACTTGTAACTAGCACATAATTTGTTAGCTTTGTCATTATTAAGGACTGTGAGAAAATGATTTCTTTGCCACATGGCTCACTTGTTGGGAATGTGAATTTCACAGGCCCATTATATCATAGCTATCCTGTTACTTTAATGTGAAGAGTCAGACCATATGAAGATAGACATGCATATTTTCTCAGCAAAGTGAAATTCCGACCGTGTTGTGTGTCTTTCCCTCGTGAATGCTTACTCTTCCATCTTTGGTCACTGTTGACTTTCCCTTTGTCCACCTGCAGAGAATCCCAGGCTCCACAATAGTCCCAGGCCTCAAATACTTTGGCCAGTCTATTAGTGGTACTGTGGACCAGAGCGGAGACATGCTGCCTGATCT